TCTCTGGGCCCTCTCGGTAATGCACATCACTATAAGCCTTGCAAGCAATGTGACTAATGAAGTTAGTTGCGGGATGATGCATTACATAACGAGTAAAGAGACTTGCCGGTAACGAGATTGAACTAGGTATTGGGATACCGACGATCGAATCTCGGGCAAGTAACATACCGATGACAAAGGGAACAACGTATGTTGTTATGCGGTTTGACCGATAAAGATCTTCGTAGAATATGTGGGAGCCAATATGAGCATCCAGGTTCCGCTATTGTTTATTGACCAAGAATAGTTCTAGGTCATGTCTACATAGTTCTCGAACCCGTAGGGTCTGCACGCTTAAGGTTTCGATGACAGTTTTATTATGAGTTTATGAGTTTTGATGTACCGAAGGAGTTCGGAGTCCCGGATGAGATCGGAGACATGACGAGGAGTGTCGAAATGGTCGAGACGTAAAGATCGATATATTGGACGACTATATTCGGAGTTCGGAAAGGTTCCGAGTGATTCGGGTATTTTTCGGAGTACTGGAGAGTTACGAGAATTCGCCGGGGAGTATATGGGCCTTATTGGGCCATACGGGAATAGAGGAGAGAGGATGAAAGGAAGGAGGCGCGCAGCCCCCCTCTGGTCCGAATTGGACAAGGGGTGCGGCCCCCTTTTCCTTCCTCCTCTCCCCCTCTTTCTCCCTTCTCCTACTCCAACAAGGAAGGAGGGAGTCCTACTCCCGGTGGGAGTAGGACTCCCCTTGGTGCACCTCCTCCTAGGCGGCCGCCCCCTTCCCCTTGCTCCTTTATATACGGGGGCAGGGGGACACCCCATGACTCACAAGTTGATCTACGTGATCGTTCTTTAGCCGTGTGCGGTGCCCCCCTCCACCATATTCCACCTCGGTCATATCGTCGCGGAGTTTAGGCGAAGCCCTGCGCTGGTAGAACATCATCATCGTCACCACGCCGTCGTGCTGACGGAACTCATCCCCGACACTTTGCTGGATCGGAGCTCGGGGATCGTCATCGAGCTGAACGTGTGCTGAACTCGGAGGTGCCGTACGTTCGGTACTTGGATCGGTCGGATCGTGAAGACGTACGACTACATCAACCGCGTTATCATAACGCTTCCGCTTACGGTCTACGAGGGTACGTGGACAACACTCTCCCCTCTCGTTGCTATGCATCACCATGATCTTGCGTGTGCGTAGGAAATTTTTGAAATTACTACATTCCCCAACATCCTTCACTAAGACGGATCGAGAATTAGATTCTGCGAGGATAAGTGGCTACGTAATGCTACACTTCGAGAACAATACCCGGCTCTATACAATATTGTGCGTCAAAAGGGTGATACTATCGCCATGGTTCTGGAATCATTTCCCTCAATTTGATGTTGAGAAGAAATTTAATTGGTCCCGGACTTAATTCGTGGAACCATGGCGATTATCCACGGTACAATTATCACATGGAACAAATGAATTTTGTAGGAGCCTACAAGTGAATGGTAAACTCACAGTGAACCCTATGTATAGTGCTCTGATCTAGTCAGAGGTGCCAGCTGATAATAATAAAAAGATTTGAAAGATGAAGATACCGCTTAAGAATAAAATCTTTGCATGGTATCTTCATCGAGGAGTCATTCTTACCAAAGATAACCTTATTAAGAGGAATTGACATGGAAGTACGCAATATGTGTTTTGTCATCACAATGAGACAATAAAACATTTGTTTTTCCATTGCAAGTTGGCTCGTTCTATATGGTCGGTCATCCAAGTAGCTTCTGGTTTGTATTCTCCACGTAGTGTTGCTAATATATTCGGCAAATGGTTACATGGGATAGAATAAAGGTTTAGAATTCTTCTCACGGTGGGAGCGTTTGCCGTTATTTGGTCGTTTTGGCTATGTAGAAATGATAATGTTTTTAACAATAAAAATACTTCTCTTATGCAGGTTATCTATAGATGTACCAGCACACTCCTTTTATGGTCGTCTCTACAACGTCTGGAGAATCGAGACATGTTTACTGAGGCAATGTACACGCTTGGAGGCCACAGAGAGGGTTACTTTTACCCGACATGGATGATAGCATGATCTTCGGATTGGCACTCCTACAGTTCAGGCGTTATACAGTCTCCACATGATTACATGTATTTCGCCTTTTTCAGTTTTTGGGAACTTGAACTTGGTTTTGGTTATGGCTGTGTGCATCTCAATTATGCAGAGTTTGGGTGATGCTTAAACCTTTTAAGTAATAAAGCACCCTTTATTGAAAAAAAATGAACTGCCCCCCCCCCCCCACACACACACGACTAGGTATATTGCTTTCACATTTACAAACTAATTTCATATATTTATACTAGATCTTATACGAGGGAAAGTAGATGATATACGCAAACATATTCGTGTAGATCGGCGCCCCACAATCCGCGCGCTCCTGTCACCACGTGCGATAAATCGCCTCCCTAAGATGCGTGTAGTGATTTCGTCTATTTTTAAAATTATAAGACTCAAATCTTGAGTGTGTGTCATGTGCCTATGGTACTATGATATGTGTGTAAGTCTATGTCGGAAATCTTGAAATGAGTTGGCGCCCCCGCCCCCACCTCACGTCGTCTTCCCGAGTGAGGCAACCAGGGGGCTTCCCTCACTCCCTCGAGCGTCTCCTCCCACCCCCTAGCCTCCTCCCGCCGCCGCGAGTGTGTGCCATCGGGCCTCACTCGAGTGGTGTTGGTGATGGCGGCCCTGAGTTTACCCGCGCGCGGTGCCCCTGCTCGGGAGGTGGCGTTTGGCGACGGTGTTCCTAGGTTGATGATGGTTTCAGCGACGGCGCATCGTCCCGGGTGGCGCAGCTTCGAGCGGTGAGGTGGCGATGGCGCGGCCGCTTAGCTGCGGGGCGTGCTGGCTGGCGGTGGAGCCCATCTGGCCCAGGTCTAGGTCCTTTTGGGGCCCACCTGGGCCAGGGCGGGCCAGGCCCAAGCTTGGCTGCGCGGTCTCCGACGGACGGAGGAGCGGCTCATACTAGGGGTGGTGGGGACGGCGCGCTCCTACTGCAACACGACGACGGGGGCTTCACGAGCCCGATTTGGGCTCAACCGGGCCTAGGGGGGCTGGTTTGCTCATGGTGTTGCGTCCGGTCGGTTACCGCCAACGGCGGTGGAGGTTGTTCCCTCCTGCGAGCTGTTGTTTTGCTGCTCCTCGTTCCCGCCGGTCTCGCAACGTTTGCCATGATGAGACGGTGATGGTGATTGCAAGACCGTGGTGGCGCGTGTTGGTGGGCGGCGTGTTTGGTGGAGCGCGACGGATCGTCCGAAGCCGTGGTTGTTTGGCAGTCAGAAGAAATCCCTACCGGTTTGACCGGCACCAACATGGTGATGCCCGTGGGCGCCGTCGTTCCTTCCTAAAGGGCGTCGGATTTATCCCTTCCCACACCCCTCCGCATACTGGGAGAAACCATAGGACCAGTCCAGGCAGCAGCATCATCATCATCACATTCCTTTTTAAAGGTGTTGCTTGGTATACAGCGTTTTGGAGTGCTAGGAGCGTGGTGAGAATTCTCCGGAGGGTGCAATGGTTGCGGGTCATCATCGCTTTCATCGTTTAAAAAAAAATCACAAATTTGCATGGAAGTTGACTTGCACAATAAGAATATGCGTATGTGTGTTTTAAAATTTTGTTTTGAAGCACCACGTTGAGAAAAACAAAAGGGCTGAGGCGACTGAACTCAAGTACCACTACATCTAATCTGTTCATTGTCCGCAGCGACCAGCGAGTAGACAGGATCAGATGAAACATCAGATCACCACCTGTCTTTACCTGGAGCACATAGCTTAGGCTTGGCAACCACCACCATGGCCGCGACGGAACTGGTACGTACTCCCAGCATCCCATGTTTCATCTCCATCACTTTTGACCATGGAGCCACGTCCCAAAGCCTTTCGCAGCTCCCACAGCATCTTTGCGACGGGAAAAAGACCTAATCAGCCAGCCAGCCAGCCAGCCAGCCAGCAAACCTCTAGTGTACTACTATGTGTGAATGAATCATTGCCGTCGCATGCATGTGGGTAGCATCTTTGCGTGTCTCCCTTTTCCTGATCAGCCCAGATTTATGAAAGCCAACTGTAGCTGCGCGGTGTTGACTTTTGCTCGTACAAAGGTGTGGCCACCTCCATGAGCCATGGCCATCATTTGGAATCTTGCAGAGCAGATACGATGGATCGATGCCATGAGCTTGCTGTTTCAGAGGCCCTACCTCTTGGACTCGGTGAGAAAACAAAACAATTGGTTGCTCTCTTGGACTCGTAATCTGAAGGGGCTATGACGGCATGGATTCAGTGGGAGGCTTGAGACAGGGGTCGTCACGGTCTCACAGGAAGGGAAGACAGAGCAAGACGACAGACATACGGACAGGCAGACATGCAGCAGAAAACAAATCAAAGTGCGTATGCATCTCAGACACAAGTACTACTACTCTTTTAAACAACAGAAGTACGGATACGCTCTTGTTCACTCGTTCACAGCTTCACATCATGCCATGCCATGCCAATCAATCATCAAGGCTAATAAAGTAGTCTACTAACCAATCCTAAACTAGTCAGGAACTAAACCAGCCTTGCGTTGCATGCTGCTGCTAGCAAGCTAGAGCTAGATCACCGTCAGCTTACCACCACATCCACATGGAAGTCCCAACAGTGCTAGGAGCTACTGTATGTGGCAAGCCAGCAACAAACATACTTGAAGAAGAAGACGGAGTACAGAACTACAGTAGTATACTAGTATTAGACTATTAGCGAGCGAGCGAGCGATGGATGGATCGATGTACAAAGGACGATGTGGCAGACCCACATACGCATAGATGGACGGGCCACGGCACGGTGGATGTAGCCAAAACAGCAGCAGGTAGATCGATAAGATATGATTAAAATCACCATGATCGTCGTCAGATGATTCCTTGTGTCAACTTAATGCCCAGCATCATCTACTCGACCTCGACGGAAGAGCTAGCCCATGCCACGCTCATGGCCTGCCCTTGTGCTGCGTGTAGATGTAGTCCAGGTGCGCGTCGTGGAGCAGCCTCCTCTGCATGCACTCCTCCCCCTCGTTCCCCTCCTCGCACGCCTCCTCCTCCGCCTCCACCTCCATCCCCTCCGCCGTCGCCTCAGGTGGTGACACCGCCTCGCCGCCATTGCGGGCCTTGCCACCTTCCTCCTTGAGCGACACTAGGCCGTCCGTTGTTGCAGCATCTGCCGCCTTTGCTCTCGCCACAGCGATACCTGCAAATACACATCCACGTATGGTTAACGATCTAAGCAATCAGAGCAGACCGAGGAGTATGCAAGCATGTAATAAGACGAGAAAAGGTATCGGTGGTGGTGGTGCTACCTTGGTGAGGAGCAGTGTTGGCGGGGAGGGGGCGAGCGGCCGCCGCGCCGTAGGAGAAGCAGAGGAGGAGAAGCAGGGCAAGAGGAGCCAGCGGCGGCGAGCAGCGTCTCGTCATTTTGATCTCGACTTCCTGCTTAAACTAGGCACACTGGGCTGGGCTGTCCGAGGAAGAGAAGAGAAGAGAAGGGCAGAGTTGTATGCAGCTAAGCTAGTGTGCTACTAGCTAGTAGTGGCTTCGGGAGCTGATGGCGAATGGTTGTGGCTGCTGGTGTTCGTGGTGGCGAGGGGAGGTATTTATAATGCGGCAAGTGGTGTGATGGAGCTCGCAACTTGCAAGCAAACACAACAGTGATGAGCACAAGAGATACTAGAACACACGCACAGGTTGGCATTGACACGGCCAATATTTTAGGGTTTTTTCTTTCGAGATGGAGCGGACAGGCACGCGCACACGCGTATAACACACGAGTTGATTAAGACCGGTTAATGAACCATGCATGGCGGGCGGCGCTAGCTTTCAATGGCAAAACAAACACCTAGCATCCCATCCCAGTTGTAGCTAGCGCTAGCTAGGGTAACTGCCAATACCCATACCCTCTTTGTTGTTTCGGTGCCAAACAAATCACAAATGTATGCCTACAGTACAGACCGGCTAGATGGGATATTATTTGCACACCAAAAAAGCAGGATACATTAGAGATCGAGAATTTAGAGATCAAAAATAGATGTCTGCTTAGCAAATGGCTATACAGAATATCTACTGAGACCGAGGGCATGTGGGTACAAGTCTTGCGGAATAAATACTTACACTCTAAGACTTTGGCCCAAGTCGCCGCTAGGCCAACAGACTCACCCTTATGGAAGGGATTAATGAGAACGAAAGCAACTTTCTTCCAACAAGTGAAGTTTCCAGTTGGTAATGGTAACACTACTCGATTTTGGGACGATACATGGCTAGGGAGATGCCTTTGGCCTTGCAATATCCTTTTTTATATAATATTGTGCAACGTAAGGAGGATTATGTCGCTACAGTATTAAACTCGATACCGCTTAATATCCAGTTTATGATATCACTAGTAGGGGAACGTTGGAATGCATGGTTGCACCTGGTTCGTGGGTTGATGGAGGTTCACTTATCGGATCAACCAGATACAATTCACTGAAAGTTAACTACGAATGGAATATTCTCAGTGAAAACCATGTATTCGGACGTAAAGCATTGTCGAGGTCGCTGCACATTTGGAAGATTAAAGCTCCGCTTCGTATTAAAAATTTTATGTGGTTTGTCCATAAAAAAGTTATTCTAATCAAAGATAACTTGGCAAAACGGAATTGGGTTGGCAATTCTAGATGTTGTTTCTGTGATCAAAATGAAACGGTTAAACACCTCTTTCTTGAATGTCCTCTAGCAAATTATTATGACGATCAATTCATATAGCTTTTAACGTTCAACACTCAAGGAGCATAAACATGTTCTTTGGGACGTGGCTTAATGGACTGGACGTACACTTAGCTAAACATATTCGGATATGAGTATGTGCACTACTCCGGGCTATATGAAAATATGATTTTTAATGGGACATAATTCATCAATTTTTTGCAGGTTATCTACAGAGCTACAACTTGGATACGTCTGTGGTTCTCACTCATCCATGTGGACTTCAGGGAGCTTATGGTTATTGGGTGTAATCGTTGAGAGACGGTAGCACGGATTATCTTCAGCCGATTTGGGTAGCGAACTAACAGTAGACTAGGTGTGTGGACATCGTACCTTGTTGTTTTATCGCCGGATGTGGCATTTTTCAGTTCTTTATCGCCGATTGTGGCGTTTTTCACATTTTATTTCATATTCAGCTCTCTTTTTGAGCTTCTTTGAACCTGATGACTTTGTTACATTTTTATTTAATAATTTGGCTGTATGCATCGATTGATGCAAAGGTCGGGAGTGATCCTTCTTTTCAAAAAAATGTATCCCTACACGTTTGTTCAACGCGGAAGTGAGCTTCTTTCCCTCCCTTTGGTTGCTTACTCTGAAATGGAAAACTTAATTGGACTTTCCGTGATTTCTGGATCGATCTACGTGACGAGATGCACACTAGCACCCACTGGCGAGTAGATATGGTGGTTTTCTGTTGGTTACCAACATTTTCGGCATTTTCCAACACTTATTTACTACAGTCGTACTATATGCGAATATCGTTGCATGGTATGGGTTGGTGTGAACAGTAGTAGGACTACTTGGACTGCCAGTGCTCGGCACCTCCCGCTTTTCTGTGCACCCGAAAACACTGGAACAGTGGACAAAGTAAACCCAGAGCTAAACTAAAGCGTTGCTTTTTTGCAAAGCAGAAAATGAAAACAAATGTCCCGGCGAAGCAAGAACATTTCCGACAGATCCCTTTTCTTCAACTTTTTTTTTTGAGTAACAACTTTTCTGTTGTTGTTGTTACGAGAGTTGGGGAAAAAAGCAGCTTCAACTGCATCATTTCTTCATAAAATTTTTGGTGATAAAAAAACCGACTCCTCTATATGGAGACGGAGTTGGGTCCCTCCAAGTACGGTTCTCATGCATATCACGTCAGCGCTTTGTCACCAATGCCCATGAGACCACCGCTGCCATCGTCGCCGCCCACACTTCCCCGCCGACCCACAACCACCGCCTGCCGGACAGCCGACGGACCACCGAGACTCCCGCTACACAGCAGCGCCATCCGCCGTTCAAACGCCCAAAAGTGATTGCGCAGCTGACCTTTCATGGCTGCAGAGTTCGAGCCAGAGAAGGATGCACGACCCTGCCCGTCGCCATCATCAAGGAGAAGTAGAACACGGGAGGCTGCCGTCGATTGTATCCCATGAAGGCCATCGCTGAGGCGACGCCGGTGTCTTGCACGATTCTTCTTCAGCCGGATGCTGGAGGAGGACAAAGAGATCGGTCGGCGACCATTTAGTTTAGGTACATTAATTCTACCAGGTTGGTTGTAATGGGAGTATCATAAGTAGTATCATGCATGCCAACTAGGCAAAATTGATGAGGTGGCATAGAATTAAATGAAGAAAGAGAGGGTTGAGTATCATATTATGATACCGTATGGAATTAAGTTACTCCCACTGTGGTTAGTCTTAGGCCTTATTCGGTTCAACCTCCTCCCAAGGGGTTTGGAGAGGAATGGTGGGGAATTTGGTTTGTACATGATTTAATCCCCCACAATCCCTGTAAATCCCTGTTAAAACCCCTTTAACCGCACATGCCCTTGTTATCACATAGTCATAATGCAATTGTTATGCATGTTAATGTAAGCCCCCGTTAATCTAGTGCCAGTGTTGATTTGATGTGATGGCACTTCTTAGATAATGGCACTTTTTCATATTGTCACTGTAATGCCGTTGATAACATATGAGATGCTACTGTTAATCATATGCCGCTGTAAAAAATAACACTGCTTAAATACATATTTGTACAAACAGGGTTGTCTATCTTCATATGGTGTCTATTTGTGCAAACGGAAGCACGAACCTCAATTTTAGTGGAACCTGCTGTCAGCTGACCTCACGGTGCTCCAGGTATTCCTACATTCTTAACTAGGTAGAATTACCAACGCAGGATAAAAATAAGCTTATTCATACGTTGACCGATGAGGGGCCATAATTAAGCTGGAGGCCTCTCTTATTTTCTTTAGAATAGGGCAATAAGCTGGAGAGTTGGAGAGTGTTTCTAATGGGCTGCCTCTAGTGTTAAGGCCCTCCAGTACGAAACACGGGCAGCCGATTGGGCCGATACAAAAGCCTATCCATTTTAAAGTCCATTTGTTTTTGTTTTCTGTGAGGAGAAGCCCATATTTCTTGAAAAGGGGGTGATCCCAGAAAAACCCTCCTTCCTCCTCGCTTCCACTTATACTGCAGCTCACAAATCTAAAAAAACTTATACTGCAGCTCGCTAGACTCTCCCGCTCACGTCGCCCCTCAATTCCTCCCGCTCCCCATCTTCCTCACTCGTACAGTAAACCCCTGATCATCTTCTTCCTCACTCGTACAGAAAACGCCTGCTCCTCTTCTTTCACTCCTACAAAAAAAACCAGCCCTCCTTCTTCCCCACTCGCAATGCCACTAGGCTCGTCTCTGGCTACTCTGCTCAAACACATGTGCTCGGCGCGACGCCCACAAGGAAAATGGAGCTGGCTGGCCCTAGCGCCAAGAAGATGAGGC